GTAAAGGTAGCTCTAAGTGGTCTCAACATAACTGTAGTGGATTTCTATTAATGTCCTCAAGTTTAGCTGATCTACAGCAGGTTCAGATGGGGAGTGGGATGGGATTCAGTCATCTCAGTGAGTTGATAGATTGCAAGCTCTGTAATGCCATTCAAAGAACTGAAAATCACTAAGCATTCAACAGAGGACTTGTCCAAGTCAATCAGGGATCCTCTGATCTCATCCTCATATTTTTGGGGGGGATCTTTTCATTTTCTATGCTACAGTTCTTGCCAGAATGCAAACACGTCTCTGGATTAATTTCTCAATAGAAGCACGAGAGAGAGAAAACAACTTGAAGAAATTGTAGACACAAATCGATTATCACTTTTGCAATAATTAAATCCTCATTGACAATATAAGACTGTTATTCTTGGTAAACTATGGTAAATCAAGGATAATCTTAGCACACAGTTACTTAGTTCATCTCCAATAACTAGAAATTTGAGAACCTAATATGTGAAAAGATGGGTGTTGTGATTTATCAGAAGCAGAACAAAAGGGACAAGACATGATATTGAAGCTTAAATAACAAAAAACATTTTATTTGATGAGATAAAAATAAAAAAGTGGGTGAACAGCTAGTGGTGGACTATTGAGTTAGTGGTTGTGAAGTTAAAAGTAAAATAATTTGACAAACTGAATTAAAATGTAAAGTAAATGAAAGATTAGATGATTGACACACATGATCAGCAGAAGTGGCAGTAGTTAAGCCAAATAAGCATAGACAAGATTTCAACAGCAAGTTTTGACCCTTTCAAGTCAGGAATGACTGTAAGAAAATGCTAAACTACATTTACAATTTACATTCTCTCTGTAGATAACCAGGCCCAGCATGGCCAGGTGGTTAGGGAGCTCGACTCGCAATATGAGGGTCGTGGGTTCAAATCCCTGTCACACCAAACAAGCTCGCCCTTTCAGCCATGGGGGCATTATAATGTGATGGTCAATCCAACTATTAGGTAAAAGAGTAGCCCAAGAGTTGGCAGTGGGTGGTGATGACTAGCTACCTTCCCTCTGGTTTTACATTGCTAAATTAGGGATGGCTAGCACAGATAGCCATCATGTAGTTTTGTGCAAAATCCATAACAAACAAACAAATTGTAGATAACCAATCAGATAAACAAAAAATCCTGGAATTAGCTACTCCTTGTTACAATCTTAGAACATATTGACATATGCTACGTCAGATACAACTATCCCATGAAACAGTAATTAGCATCCATGAACTGACCCTGCTGCAGAATGTTAAAACTAAGGTTGCACTTATAACATGATAAAATTCCAATTCAGAGTTAGGAAGGTCTTTTAGGTATGCACCAAGAAAAAAACCCAACTAGAATATTAAGATGAAATTTTTAAGTTTTGTTTTCATGTATTTATACTCATTAGCTTCTGCGATTTGCATTTCCTGTACCCTGTATCTTTAGTGCTTGTTCCAGCTAGTACCCAGATTACCTAATGCCTATGATTTCCATGTAAAAGCTACCTAAGGTATTGAAAAAAAGTAATATGAAAAAGTAAAATTTTATAGTAATTTAGTAATTAAGTAATTTAGTATTGAATTGTTATTTTAAACTGGAGTAGACTTGGGATGAGGAAAGTTTAATGGTTCATTTCCTTATTTAATGAAACTAGCTGACTTACCCATTTCACTTCTCAAGGGTGTCTTCAAAGTTTGGTAGAGATAAGTAAAATAATACATATGGTACCCTGCAGGGAACAACTTGGGAAGGGTCAGATACAAATGCCAACCCCTTTGTATTATTTCTTGGGGCTCTAAGGATGTGTGACAAATTTGGTTGATATTGGTCAAAAATTGAAGATGTGAAAGGCATCCAATAGACAAAGACAGGACAAATTTCTATGCCATCCCCATTCCCCCCATGTTACTTCCCAGAATGTTCTAAGGGTGCATTTGAGGTTTGGTATAAATCAATAAAGTAGAATGGTGTGCATAGGGGTTACAGGTCCAAATTCTGTCTCCCCCATGTCAGTTCCTGTGGGTCCCTAATGGTACATGCCAAGTTTGGTAGAGGCTGGTCAGAAACTCAAGATGTGAAAGGCAGACATGAGGATATATTATGACCTTTCAGGGAGGAACATGAGGAGGTCTGATTAAATGCTGACTGCCCCCTGTTACACACACTGGGGGAGGGTTTCGTGAGAACATGCCAACTTCAAAAGCAGTACATCATGTTGTAACAAATGTTACAGAGGTTTTGGAACCAGGGGGTGCTGTACACCCCAACTTTAACATATTTGACTTATATAGCAATTATAAATTATATTATTATATTAATTTTCTGGGGGGGCATGCTCCCAGACCTCCCTAGATTGAGCTGCTTTTGGCAGCTCCTTATACTTTCAATCTCTCATTGTAAAGTCTGAATGTCTAGCCAAGTACCCCAATTTTGAAACTCCTTCCTACACCACTGTATTATGTATTTTCAATGAAAGAGAAAACCATGAAATACACATGCTCTAATTTTAGTGCTTAAAGTTTATTCAGAGTCAAATAAATTTGTATCTGAGAGTTTTGTAAAATCATATCAAAGTGCAATTAAGACTTACGTATGGGAACAAGCAGATGCCAAGTTCTTAATCTGGTCATTCCTGTGATGACTGGTAGTCATTTATTTCTAATTCTAGCCTGACTGTTTGTTTCTTAGAGTAAATATGTACATATATTTTTACAGTGTTGTGTAAGTAGAGTCAAGTAAAGGGTAAATTGTCATGTAGTTGTGCTACAGTATAATTTGTCATAATGTATTGTAGTGACATAATAGTGCAAGATCTCGTATTGTTCCTGTTTATGATATCTTAGTCTTGGGTATGAAGGCAATAAGTTTGGCTGAGGGTCAGTACAAGGATGAACATTAAATAAGCAAAAAGGAAGTTATTTAAAACTCCAAAAGTTACTAAATCTTACACCAAAACCTTATGTAACAACACAGTCTTGGGTATGAAAGCAGTAAGTTTGGCTGAGGGTTAATACAAGGATGAACATTAAACAAGCAAAAAGGTAGTTATTTAAAACTCCAAAAGGTACTAAATCTCACAACAAAACCTTATGTAACAACACTAAATTTATATGATTCTACTTTTATCACTGCAAGAAAGACACAGGAAAAGAAACTCTTAGAGCTTGTAGGTATGTTAAAATATTTTATTATCGCATTAGGAAAACAAACCTTCATCTTGCAGATACATTTGAAGATGCATATGGGTAAGTATGAAAACCATGACAGTATCATTCCAGTAATCAACTTAATATATTGTGATTTTGTAATGTTACTGTTTTTTCATTATGTGCTTTACATTTGCTTGCTTGTTTATTTGTTCAAGTGCAATAGATCATGTAATCCAGGGATTCAGATTCGTACAGCAGGTTGTTACCAAGTGAATCTGTATGGGTGGGTGGACCCCAAACCTCTTGCTCGTCTACTTGACCACAACCAAACATGGTGTGATGAAAACAGTCGACCCAAGCTGATAAGGTCATGCAACCTTGGGAACTGTAATGATGGAGTTGCATGGAAACCTGGGCCCTGGCAACCAGTAAGTGATTGTAACTGCTTTTGCTTCTTGTTTCATGGTGATTTTATTATAATGACACACTATTTTGTTGCCAAACATAGAACTTTGGCAAAAGACAAGCATTAGGGCTTGCTTTGTCTACCCATCCTGGAAGTTTTTCTTTCTACCTGGGCTTAGTAACAAGAATATATTTGTGCTTACTGTATTTATGTATGAAACTTGAAACTATCACAACAAGGAATTATGCCACAGAGTTTGATGTTTTTTCTCCATTTGGACCCTGGAACATACCTATGTGGACCTAGCCATAACAGATACTATGTTACATTCATTGTTTTTCTGTTTGGACATGGAACTTTTTTTTTTTTTTTAATTTATGTGCACTGACCTATCCTTACTAGATATTAAGTTATGAAAATATGTTTGTACATGTTTTGAAGACATTGGAATTTGTAGTAAGAAATTAAGTTAAAAAACAGTTTTATACACAATTGATATTTCACTTGTTAACTACCTAGACCTGTGATTACCAGACATAATACACCAAGCATGCATTTGATATTTTTGACCCTTTTTCATTGAAAACTTATTTTCTGTGAAAATGTAAAATGAGAATGTACAAATCATATATTTTGCTTCAAATAGTTTAACAGGAAACTGAAAATAGGTAACTGTAGAAACTATGTCTGTAGATATTTTTAGTAATGTGTTGAACTGGCATTGTAATGATACAGGGTTAGCATGTTCTCTATGTCAAAATCTGAAGTGCTATTAATTGTTAATAATCAAACTTTTTATTCATTTTTGTGTCTGTTACTGAAATTGAATTATTGTTATTGTATTTTTTATTTAAATTCAGTACATAGTTTTATCACTAGTATGTTTACCATGGCAGGTTCTAGCTTACTATGGGGTGGGGAATAGAATATTTCTTTCTGTTTTTTAATTTTTTTATGTGTTTCAAGTTTAATAGAAAGGTTAGAAAGGCACCATTGTGTTTTTAAAAGAGGAAAGATTATAGACTGTTAGAAACCTTAAATATTTGTAATGTTTGATCATGCATATGTATGAGACCACTCTTCAGTATTAATAACTTATCAAAACAATATTTTAAAGCCCATCACATGTACAGTTGTGTAGAATTGTCTAAAACCATTTTTGCAACAAATTAACAGTAAGTTCACTACATACTTTTACTTATATATATATATATATACATATACAGGCATTATCTGTAGAATCTGTGCCACTATCTCTCCATGACAGTTGATAATTCAAAAGGGTTGGGATAAACAAATCATAAATCACAGCTAAAAACTTTCAACACTGTTTTGCTTGATCTAAAGCCTGTCAGAATCTGGATACTGACAACTGGTCATAGATTTTATTGAATGATGAGATATACTTCATTCAGTTCCAAAGTGATAGCCAAAGGTAAATCTGGAGGCAAGTGAATAATTTCACTATAATTGTATTTGGCCAGTTATGAAGAGTTATAGAAACATTTTATAGCTTAATTTGAATTTTGGGCATGGGATCTATCTGTGAAATATCTTCAAGTATAAATCATCAGGGATATCAAGAAATCTTAAATAAACACATTTTCAATGGCTGTAGTGACATTTTGCAGTCAGTAGGCCAGTATTCTTTATTGATAGGATAATGTCCCCTGCAACAAAGTATGTAAGAGCCATGTCTGATTTCAAAGTAACAAATTATGTATCTTGAAATGGCTCACCTAATCCGTTGTTAGATCATCTGGAAGGAGTAATTTGAAAAGTTACACCACAATTTTGTAGAAATTGTCATCAAAAGAGTTATCTTTAGAAATAACATTGGAAGCATGAACAAGACATCTGCCAGAGCCTAGATGAGAGAATGCATCACAGTACAATAGCAGTTATCCATGTCAAGATGCTACTACATAGTATTTAACATGTATCTCAAGGAATTTCATCCTCATCCTCTCTACAAGTCCAAATACTTTGGGTATGGCCAAGTAAATGACAAACAACAAGTGTTACATATCTTGTAATAACTATGATAAGCAGAGCTTAATTTATTGTTTGTTCATCTGTCTTCATTTAGGAATTATCAACCATCTTTTGTTATTATGTTTCTTTTTTCTTATATTTCTCACTGTCAGTTTTTTTATGTATGGGCTGGATTATTTACAGTAGGTGTCTGTGACTTGTTGGCGATAAATTTCAACAATAAACAAACAGCAATACAGTCCACTTGGTTTAAAATAATATATTGAAACAATTCAAACTTATATAAAAAAATTTGTTACACTGTTGGTTATCATAGTTCTATCCAGAGCTTGAAATAATTCTCTCTTTTTCATCAAAGTTCACACAGGCTGGTTCAGTTACTTTAGAACACAATTTGATAAGACGATTTATTCTTCCAGCTCTGTTATTACAATCATAATGTCTGTGATAATTTCACTCTAAAATCACCACTATATCTATTGATTATGACAGTTGTGTCCAGAGATTTATATAATCTAATCAAAAACACCTTAGATGTGATAAAGAGGTGTGGCCAAAAAAGGATTGAGGATGTGACTTAAAGGAATTAACTCAAAATTGGCAGTCAAACTGGTAGCTACACTTATAATATTGATAAAACTTTTCCAGCAAATATTCATTTATTAGTTAGCCAGGCTGCATTTTTTGTTCAACTTGGGGCATGATGATAGGTAAAACAAAATATGCAGCTTAACTAACTAATGATTGAATATGTAGTGTAAAATTCTTATCAATGCTATAAGTGTAGTTACCAGTTTGGCTGCCAATTTTGAGTTAATTCCTTTAAGTCGCATGCTCAATCCTTTTTTGGCCAAGCCTTTTTTTTCACACCTAAGGTGTTTTTGATTAGATATCATGTTTTTTTTTGTCAAAACACACCAACGAACTGCAGCAAGTAAGGAAGTGACACTCGATAGTAACCAACATTAGCTTTAGGATTGCAACCCTATTATTGAGAACAGAACTATACTTTACAGAACCAACCAGATTCTTTAAAATATGTGATGGTAGTTTTCCTTTCTAAAACAGTGTTATTAACTTCCTTTATAGTAATGCCATGGAAACTAGGTTAACAGTTTCTTGTCATCACCTACATACACTCTGGACAGCCATTTCAAGTATCATTATTTAAGCTATTTGCTTAAGATAATATCACATCATGCTGAATGCTCTTTAAATAGGAGAATTTCTTAAAACTTGGCAATGAATAATAACTGCCCACCCATATGATTCTTTTGAAAACTTGAGCTAGAAACTGCTAATCTTGTTTGCTTGCCTAATCAATACTTATGTGCTTTCACCCCATAGTATTGCTGCTCTAAGTCAGCCATCTTTAATCCAAATGACAAAAAATTAAAAATGGTCCACCTTTACTCTTAGATGAAGCTGTATAAACATTTCAGACTGATAGCTCACGTGACTTTTTACATAGAAGTGCACAAAATTTTTGTCAAAATTGAGCAGTTTTTGTTTTTTTGTTTTTGCACATGTGGCTTATATTTAGACCAAATTTGGCACCTTATTGTAGGTTGTAAAGATCTATCAGTGTACTAAATTTGAAAAAATCCATGAAAGTTAGATATGTTTTTTTATCAGATAAAGTTTTCTATCTTGTGTATTTGTTAATGGATTGCCTTGAAATTTGGTATATGAAGTAAAGTTACAGTAGAGCACATCCACTGAAAATATGTGGTAGTTTGGATCACCAAAGTCTGAGATACAAAAAGTGAAAATTGCTAAACTATTACTCCTGTTCATAACACGCAGTGTGTCCTGCAGGTTTTTTTTGGCTTCACAACATACTACCATGTGTCTTGATTGTTTTTTTTCATCAAAGTCCATATAGGCTGGTTCAATTACTTTAAAACATAAGTGACAAGAATTATTCTTCTCTACTTTGTTATTACAATATAGTCTATGATTACTTTACTTTATAAATTGGCACTATACGCTTTTTATGGCTAAACTCACAATCAAGCAGTATAGATATATATATCTAATTAACTAGAACTACATCTTGGATGCACATTTATAGCTGGACAGAGTTGTAGAACATTCCACACACTATGAGATATTATGATGCAATAATATTCAATTAAATTGAGAAACTTAGAAGGTTCTAGTAACATGATGCAATAATACAAAAATCACCAGTTCACAACAGTTGGGCTACACAACATATGATTCGCAAAAAGTGATGTAAACAAACTTGTGATAAACTGTCACTTCTAAAAGTAACTCAATTTAACACTCACAATATACTTAAATGGAAACAGTCATGTATATCTAACACTGACAATTTGTTTTTGGAAGTGTGTAATGGAGGTATGCTGTCTCCATTTGTTGTAATGATACATACAGTTCCTATAACCATTATATACTGGAAGTGGAGTTAAAGTTTGACGTGAAAAAGCAATTCCTGTTGAGTACATATGATACCGGGTCTTTCTGGATTGGAATAAACGATGTTACAGTTTTGTAATGCTGGAAGCAAGATTTAGTAGATTTATCACAGTGAATTGAACTGATGATGTTGGGAACAAATTGGATTATTTGTGCTGATGAGCTTATCTTATGTCATTATGGTGGAAATTACCAGAATAACTTCAGAGTTAGATACAGACTTTTTTAGTGGTTAGTTAACGATCTTACATGTGAAGAAGCTGGGCTGGTGCATAACATAAGTGATGTTTACTGATCATTTTCTAAGGTAATAAAGGCTTTATTTTGATAGCACTAAGCTGAATTTGAGTTAACTTAACAGACTAAACCAGTAACACTCTGAAGCTTTTTATATACCATATGGTGTATTATTGTCAGTTTCAGTTGATATTTGTTTTATTTTGAAAGCTAGTGCCTAATGGAAAACAGACTAAGGATATTGCCAGTGTCTGTTCTAACACAATAAAAAAATATTACTTCTGAGACTAATAAGAGATCAAATTAAGAATTTAATGATAGAGTATGTATGAGAGGGAAGATGCTGCATACTCCCTCTCTCATATTCTTTGTGTAAAAGCCATAGAGTATAGATGTCATTCTTAATAAGTTATATTTCCTTGTTATTTTCTGAAATTCGTGTTCAGTTGCCTTGTTTTTGCTTCCATACACACTACTTTGTCACACACACTTCAGTAAGCTGAAGTTCAGTTTGAAGATAGACTTTAAATTATTATTTTAGTGTTTTCTAAAAATAGAATATTTTATGAAGATAAGAAAACTTTTAAATAGATTATTTTGTGACTTTTTCTTTCTCTAGTAATTAATTTTGAAGTTACAAAATTAGATTTGATACTGGCTTCAGGATTACTCTTAGCATTGCATTGCAAAGCTTAATTTTTAGGGTTAACCCTTGGTTTACCTAGTTCAATGAACACATCCTAGTAGACTAATTATAGCTTAATTCATGCTTAAAGTTATTGGATTAAGCTAGTGAATACTTATCTTTGTTTTATATAGATAATATTTTGTTTTTCTAACATATTTTTTATTTCTTATTTGCACATCCTTTACTTTCACAATACAAATTAATTTGCTTATACGACATCTGAAAGCAAGCTTATACACTTAGTACCTGGCAGTGGAAATGTTGAAATATCACAGTAGTTTACATGTTGCCAGATTTCATTACACTGAATAATTTATTTCCTACACACAAAAAAACTTGTACAGTAATTTTCTTTAGTATGTAAGGGAACAAAATGTTGATACTAAGGCAGAAGTAAAGTTAGTAAGTAAACTGAGCACAGGACACTTGCATCTAATTTTAATATTATTTCTGGTTCATTGAATTCAGTGTTCTGTTACTTGTGGTACTGGAATGCAGAAAAGACGTGTTCCTTGTTATAACCTAAATGGGCAAAAGATCAACAGAAAATACTGTCATCATTCCATGAGACCAATGAGAAGAAGAAAATGCTACAAGAAACCATGTAAGCTTTCAATTTGGAAAAAGTAGTGAACAAGTATTAACTTATGTTGTAAAAATATTATATTTTAGTTATTTGTATTTTTAATTATAGAAGAAGAAACATATTTTTCTTTTTGTTCATTTTTTCTTGGTTTCATCCTGTATATTGCAACAGGTAAGTCATATGACTAATTGTCTTGACAACTGTAATTAAAAAGAAGCTATTTAATTCTGAATGACTTATTAACAGGTTTGCTCAACATTTGGAAATTCATAGACAAACAAGACTAGAACATACCAAAAAAAGAAATTGTTGATTTTATCTACTAATTATACACATAATTAATAAATGTTTTATAGCATTCAAGTTAATATTTGTAACAAGTCTTTTTTGCAGGAAATGTAAGAAACAATTTGTATAACTATTTTTAGTTCTCAAAACACACACATACTTATTACAAGATTTCATTTAAAGAGTTCTAATCATGCATTGCTTGTTGATGCTATGTTCAAGGAGGTGGAAAAGAGAAAGATAACCAGCTGTGAA